TTTTTTTTTTTTTTTTTTGGTTTTGTTTTCTTTTTTTTGGTGTTTTTCTTTTTAGTGTTGATAATTTGATGTTTTTTTGCTATTAAGTAGTAGAATCAGTAGTATTTCTAGGTCGGTTACTCCCAACTTTTATTACAATTTCAGTTCAAATTATAGCTTATTCTTTACCTACCTTTATTTGCTCTGCTAGTAGACATTTATGGTGATATTTATTTGTAGCAATTCACGAATACTATTATCAGAAATATGAAGAAACTCTTGCTGAAACAAATTACAGTAATTTTGTTTGGTGGAGTTTAAGTGGAAACAACATTCACTGTTCTTTTCATCTATTTGCATTTAGAGGTTTAGTGCTTATCGGGCGTTGTAATTTTTGTCATCGTTCTAAACGCTGTTATCGTCATTGAAATGAAGCTGATATTTTTATTTTGGCTACTCAATTTTGCTATTTTGTTGACATCGTTATTCCGACGTGTCGACATATTCTCTATGCCAACTTTGTTGTTGTTGTTGTTGTCATTGTCGTCGTCATTATCATCACCATTGTTGTCACCTCCAATAGCATCTTCACCAAAACCAACCATCACCAATAGGACCTGATTTTCTGTTGTCGACCAACAGCAACTGAGTCCTTATTCAAATTTTTTTCAATAATTGAGAAGTAAAAATTCTTTTTAATGCTTAAACTAAATAATAAACGTATTGAGAAATCTTTATTAATGCAACTGGATTTAGTCGGTTAAAAAAAATTTTTTTTATTTTGTGATAGGAATATAAGAAACTGAACACTAATTTATGACTTTTCTGCAAAAGAGTTAAGGAAAGAACTTTTTGCTTTCACTTTCTGCTTTGATTTATGTCAGATAACTTTGCAAGAAGAAGGGGAAAGGGGTGGGATAAGGAAAGAATTTAGTTTTTAATTCAACTTCTGCAGATGGAAATGTTTTTCCTATGTGTATGTCTGTTACACATATGCATTTTCAGAAGTCTTTAATTGTATTTGGAACATGTGTATCACAGTGATTAGTTTGAAATGTTTAACAAATGTTATCAGGCAAATAGATGTGTTGTTGAAGCAGTAGAGGAAAAAGGAGAGGAAGAAGAAAAGCAAAAACGATAGGGATGAGCGGTTATTGTTAAATACAAATCATAAAAAAATTGACATTTTCGGTTGAAAAATCGGAAGTTTATTATGATTCATTGAAGATTTGTTTCCTCGCTGTATCATCATCAAAGTTTTTTTACTGTTCGAAAAAGTAGAACACTTATATATTTTAGACTGCCTAAATTGATCACCAGTTTCAGTTGCCTCAGTTTAAGCAACCTGCTCAAGCAGAAAAATTGAATTTTTTTTATTGTTTAGATTTCTTCTACCTTTTATTTCCTCTTTCTTTATTTTTTCTGCCTACAGTAATTTAAACTAGCACATATGTGTTTATATTTTGGTTTCTACATAGCTGTAATTTTAATTGTTCCAAAAGAAGCGGTTTAAAAAGGATTAAAGCAGCACTTGGTCGTTTTTCTTGGGCCCTACTTCTGTTACTGTTTGAGCAGTATTGAAAGTTTGAAATTCTGAAGAAAGTCACAAATAAAACTTATGGCATACACAAGTCAACGGTTTTTAGAGTTTTATTGAGACTGTACTTGACAAACATTGACGGTTATTACCAAATCACTGTCATTGTTGCCTCATAATTCTCTTTATATTACGCGCAATTTTGAGTTAGACCCAATTTTATCAAAAGTTTTTTATCTTTTTTTCTAAGCTTTATGAGGCATAATGTGAAAGATTTTGACAGACTGTTGCAAAAAAATAAAAACAAAAAAAAGAAACTCTCTTTTCCTATTTCATTCTTTACTTTTTCCACTGTTTATTCTGTAAGACGGCTACTCAAAGCTAGAGCCTTTTATTTCTTTTAATTTCATTTATACTTAGTTTTAACAGCAGATACTAATTCTCACGTTATTTAGCCTGTTTTTGGCTTACGAGACCAAAATGAACAACAAATATTCATAATTTTCTCACCTTAAGTTAAGCTGTTTATCAAAGGCATTTGCGAAAAAAATGAAGCAAAAGAAAAGGATAAAATGGACGGTGAGCATCGGAAAAAAATTTTCTTGACAAGAACATATAATCTAAAGTAAACTAGCAAATATGCCATTTTTCTACGGAAAACAAGACGATATGCTCATCATTTGACGCTGATTTGAACAGTTTTTTTTTGATTTTAATGTTTTAGGAAATCTTTATGTTCTGCAGAAATCTTGGATAAACAGTAAACATAGACGTTTCACAGTTGTGAAACAGCTTTGGTTATTTTATTGCTTTTTTTTCTCTTTCTTTCAAAATTTTTTAGCCTGTTTCTTCTTTTCAACTTTTTTTTGTACGCATAAAAATTTCAGTAAGTTTGTTTTCTTTCATTCATTTTTTTATCAAATGATTTGGGTCTTCTGCATTCTCGAGTATACATTCTCTGTTCTATACAGTTTATAAAATTTTGGTTTTTCTTTTTAATTTATAATAAGTAGGCCATCGTAGATTATGTTTTTACAACAAAAATGCGTTTCTGCGACAGAAGCGAATGATGAATGGAAAACTGTAGGTTAAGTTGCATAACAAAAAAAAGAAGAAATTGTTATTTATGTAGTTCACCGAGGTGGTGTCAGAAAGTCTTAGAAAACGTTGGAAGTATATACAGGTAAATGATTAAAAGCTTCAATTGTGTAACTTTCTTTCAGCCAATGTGTTTTTTGTTTTTGATAGTTCATTTTTGGGTGTGGACTAGGTATATTTTGAGTTATTCTTAGTTTCTAAGTTATGAATATCTACTTTAAAAATTTTGAATACCTCGGTACAGGAAAATTAAAAAAGTCTCTAGCTGATAGCTGAATCAGTCATTATCTTACATTGTTGGAATCAACCGTAACCTTGGATTATTAATGGTTTGAAAACTGTTGTTGGGATACTTTTCTATGTAACTTGATCGTATAATCTTCAGCTGAAATTTTGCTTCTGAAATTATTTTTACAAGAAAATGCTTTCAATGTTTTTATTACCATTTCTGTTTCAAAATTGTAAAGTTTGCGATTTGTTGTTTTGTTAAATTATTTTTTGACTGAATCAACTCTGCAAGCCTTATTTACGGTGGCACTTATTGGCCGTGTTAATCTTCATGATACAGTTAGGAAGAGACAAAGTGATCAGTTTCTAAAATGGTTATCGTTTTTAAATTAATTGAACTTAACAGTGATGGATGAAACTTTGTTAACAGGAAATTTTGCCATTTTTAAAAATCAAAAATTAGTATATCTCCGTTCTTTTTCTCACTTTTATTAGACAAAGGAAAAGACAAACAATGTGCTGTGACTTTTTGAAGCCTATTTGTGAAACAATAAGTTTGAAGAAGAATGGAGTTTGTGGTTTTGTAGTCCTGTGTGTCAATAGCTTTCACAAAAAGATGCTGAAAGAACAAAAATAGTGCTAACAGTGTGAATTACACTTATAGGTACCATCTGCGTCTGTATATATACACTTTTGTTTTAATTGTTTTTGGTTTAAAAGCTAAAAAAAAGGTTGCAGTTTTTTCCCTCTCCACTCCACTCAGTGTTAAACTTTTATTGGTCACAATATTTGAAACAAAAAAGAAAGTTTTTGTTTCATTAATGGTCTCAAAAAAAAATTTTACCGAATCTGTGGGAATCATTGGTGTACTACATTGTATATTTGGTGGTATATCAGGAGATTGTAGGGCTTTGATTTGGAAGATTATCTCATGGTAACTCCGCAAAAAAAGTGTTAAAACTGATTTTTTTTCTTTTGAACTTCAGGTTTCGTTAATGTCGTTGTTATCGTCGTTTGCACCGTTGTTGTTGATGATGATCGATAATACTGCCTGAATAAGATTAAGAGACATCAAGGAAAGACCACTTGTCTGTTGTTGTTCCTTGACGGTTTAGCGGTTTTTTCCGCGTCCAGTTCAGTCTTATACGGTCTGAGTGTATTGAAAAAATAAAATATATCAGTCGTCGTTCTGTTTTCCGAACGCTGCTGAAATTCTAAACTTTTTATCAGTTTTTTTCCTTCGTGCAAATTTTTGTTTATCGACGCATATTTGCTTTCTTTGTAGTCTGTTTTATTTGAGTTTATTTGTGGGAGTGTAAATTGAGGATTACCGAACAATTTTGATATTGTTGTTTAAAAGTCATTTTCTAAAAAATTTTCTGACGTTACTGCGTTGTAGTATTATTACTGTTGTTTTGTGGATATGGCTTCGTTGCCACTAAAAGTCTGATTCTTCTTTTTTTTGTTTTTTTTCAGAGAAAAGGGTTATATAATTTCGAAAGTGAAATTGTTCAGATGAAAATATTTTTTTTACGTTAACTGATTCGTCTGGGATCTGAAGTGTGAACTTCTGTTTTGGGATTTTTGGCTTTTAGTCTACGCCTGCAGAACAAGACACTTCTGATTTATACCCTCCTCTCCAACACCTTTTTTTTTTATCTTTCAGCGTCCTGGCGCTGAAGTGATCAGGAACGCCTCAAATGCACAAGTTAGTTTCTTATTATCTAATCTAATTAAATTTTTAGTTTTTTTTTCTGTTTGTTTCACCGGGGGTATCCTTCCTCTTTATATTTTGAACTTGTAAATATGCTTGTCGGTTTATGGATATGACTAGTAACAGTTACGTATTTATAGCTTTCCTGCTCAACCGTGTAGGACGGCAGTCTGTTCTTTCATTTTTCGATTATTTTTCTTACAACTATGCTTTCTATTTTTGGTTTCATCACAACCAGCTCAACAGATACCATCTGTAGATCCAAATCATCATGTTCAAAGTCAGTTGGTTTTTGTAAATTATTTTCTTTATTTTTGATTATTGTACATCTTTTGGACTGTGAGTTTGATTTAGAATGATGCGAATGATATCGTAGCTTTAGAACATTAACCCTTCTCCATTTGAAATGCGATATTTTAATGGTTGGTTCTAGGTAACAATCCGTGTTATGATGCATCTAATAGGCCTCAGCGATGTGTTCCAGACTTTATTAATGCAGCTTTTAATCTTCAAGTTGAAGTCACTAATACCTGTGGTGTGAGAAGTCCGACACAGTAAGTTCTGATTCATTTACGTTTTTTGATTCTGGACAAAGTTCTGTTAAAACAGAGAAGCCTTTTTCAAAAGGACTTGAACAACTTAATATTAGTACTTTCTAAGTCAACCAAGATGTACTACTTTGTTTGTGAGCTGAATTTCTTTATATTTTTAGTTTTTGTGTGCAGACTGGACATAGCGGTATCCGAAAAGTTTGCGACGTTTGCGATAACCGTGTAGAGGTATATACGTTTCAATTTCCAAGATATAATTTTTATTGGATTTAAATCACTTTGAGCAGTAAAGCTGTGAGTGGAATCTTGTCTTTTTAAGGGCTTCCGACACCCAGCCAAATTCTTAACCGATTTTAATAATGCAAATAACGAAACGTGGTGGCAGTCCGAGACAATGAACGAGAAGATACAGTATCCTAATTCTGTTAATTTAACGTTGAGGCTTGGAAAAACTTTTGACATCACTTATGTGCGATTAAAGTTCATAAGTCCACGTCCTGAAAGCTTTGCTATCTATAAGAAAACCCGAGTGGGTGATGATTGGGTTCCGTGGCAGTATTACAGGTCGATTGTAGTTGATTTAAATAATTTTTTAACTTTTATCCCACATCGGTTTCTTTATTTGGAAGTAAAAAAAATTTTTAGAAATTTAAACTATTTTTGTAATTTTTAGTGGTTCTTGTTACGCGACCTACAGAGTGAGGGAAAAGGTACCGATATTGCCGGGCAATGAGGCAGTTGCACAATGTACTCGTGAGTTTTCCGATATCTCTCCTTTAACAGGGGGTAACATTCCATTTTCTACACTGGAAGGTCGTCCTAGTAGCCGTAACTTCGAAGAAAGTGAAGTTCTCCAAGTAAATTGTAGTTCTGCTTTACTTGCTTATATGTTTATTTGTTGGTATTCTTCTGCAGCCATTTACTGGATCTGTAGTTTGGTTTCCCTTTTCAAAAGTTCATTTTGTTGAGGAATGGGTAACGGCATCAGAGATACGAATCGTTTTAAATAGAATGAATACATTTGGTGACGAGATGTTTAAAGACCCGAAAGTGTTGAGGTCTTATTATTATGCAATATCTGACTTCGCAGTTGGTGGAAGGTAAGTAGTGATGGAGTATCGACACGTTCTCACCGTTAGCTCTGTGGCTTCGCGGCTTTATTCAAGAAAATTACAGATGTAAGTGCAACGGTCATGCGAGCGAGTGCGTTAAATCTACTGGAGATGGTGAAGAACGATTGGTTTGCCGATGCGAACATGATACCGAAGGTACTGACTGTGAACGATGTAAACCTTTCTATAATGATCGCCCATGGAAACCTGGAACAGCTAATGATGCTAACGAATGTCTTCGTATGTCTATTTTTTAGTTTTTTTCGCTGTCTTTGTTATTTGATTTATTATTCTCAACGCTACTGAAACATTTTTTTCTTTTTTCTTTTTTTTATTTTCTACAAAGTATTTTCTTTGCTAGGGTGAAGTTTTTTATAGCTTGCAATTGCAACCACTTGTCCAGTCGCTGTTACTTTGACCAGGAGCTCTATGAAAAAACCGGAAGTGGAGGTCATTGTATTGATTGTGCTGGTAATACGCAGGTAAAGCTCCTAGATTTTCAAATCAAAATCGAGATTCATTTTGTTTATGATGTTATTTGTATCTGAGCACTGCTATTTCGATTAGAATGTACTTTTCAATTTAAGCGTTTCGTTAACTACCACATTTTTTTTTCTTTGCTGTCATTAGCGTAAAACCTTTTATTTGACTTTTCATTAAAAAAATGTTGGCCTTTCTGCTTCATTATTTAAAATTGGAGTTCTCAAGATCTACTCTGTGCAATCGCTACTCGAAACTTTCTAAAAACTCACCGTTTTCTGTAGCAGACTCTTCTTTTGTGGAAAAGAAAGTACTTTGGTTAGAAGACGGCCTCGGACTAATTTACGCAATTTGAAGGGTCCGCACTGCGAAGAGTGCGCTCCAAACACATGGAGGAGACCCAACGAACCATACTGTGTCCCCTGCGGTTGTGATGAAACCGGATCATTAAGCACTCAGTGCGATTCAACAGGGCAGTGTGCTTGCAAACCGGGTGTAGGCGGGCACCGCTGTGATCAGTGCAAGGAAGGTTTCTATGATTTCTCAAGCACCGGATGCAAGTTAGTGTTAAAGTTCTACATGTTTGTCCGTGTTTTGTATGAAGTTGTGCGCTGTGGTAGGCGCATAGCTGGTGAAATTTGCTGAGAAACATTTATTGTTTCTTTAGCCGGTATTTTTAGTCCTTTATCATTTTATTCATTAATTCAAAAAAATGTTTCTCTTTTAGGGATTGTCAGTGCCAGGCAATAGGATCCTTGAACAATAAACCATTTTGTAATCCTAGTACTGGTGAATGTGTCTGCAAATTAAATGTAGAAGGTCGCCAGTGTGACCGATGCAAGCCAGGCTATTTTGATCTTTCATTAGATAATCAGTTTGGATGCACACCTTGCTTCTGTTTTGGACATTCGTCTGTATGTAAGGTTGCTGAAGGGTATTATGCTACTAACATATCCAGCGAATTTGATGAAGGTGACTAGTGTTATTCGATATCCACTTTTTAGCACTTTATAGAAGAATAATAATGATAGCAATTTTTTTAATATGAATCTCACTTTGATACAGGCAAAAATAAATGGAGAGCTGTAGCACAACGTGGCCACTTGGATACTCAGTGGTCAGAAGTTGATAAAGCTGTAGCAGCTTCGGATATTGATGGTTCTCCGGTATACTTTGTAGCGCCAGAACAATTTAATGGTGATCAACGATCCTCTTACAACCAAGATCTCTGGTTTACATTTAGACTTCAACAGGGTCAACCTGGTGGAATTCAACCAAGTCAAAAGTAATTTTTTTAAAACAGGCTACCTTTTTTTTATTTGCCATTTACGCCTTTGTATATTCTCTGTCGCAAGTGCTAATTTTGTAGAGGAATCCAATTTCTAGGGATATTGTGATTGTTGGAGGTAACGGTAACCAAGAACTAACACTGCCAATTTTTGCTCAAAATAATTCATATCCGAGTGTCAGTGAGCAGCAATATCGTTTTCGTATTCACGCAAATCCAATATTCCAGTGGAGCCCACGCATGAATGAATTGGACTTTATCGGAGTTCTCGCGAACGTCACGGCACTAAAAATCAGAGCGACGTATGGGCGTAGAGGTGTGTAACACTCTTTCTTGCGCCTCAGTTATCTAAATCTGACTTCGACTGTCAATGGTTTTGCATACTCGGAACTGTATTAGCTGTATAGATATTTTTTTCAGACATTGGTTTCCTAAGTAGCGTCCATCTTGGAAGCGCCAGCCTTGCACCGCTCGGTGAAAATCCAAAAGAGGCAAAGTGGGTGGAGTCATGCAGTTGTTCGGAAGCAAATGTAGGGCAGTTCTGTGAATCATGCGCTCCTGGCTACCGCCGAGTACAAAAGTATGGAGGACCGTTTAACCGCTGCGTAAAATGTGACTGTCACGGACATTCAACGTCTTGCGAAGCTGAGTCAGGTAATGTTTTTCAACACTAGTTTCCCTGGAGAATGTTGATAATTTCTAGTCATTACAAGTTTATCTAGTTCTGACTAGATTTTTGTCACTTTCAGTAGTATAAGAATGAGGTTTTTGCATATAGTGAAAGGCATGCAAAATTTAGGTACAGAACTGTTTAGCCTGTAGAAGACGATAAAAAATTAATGAATTGGTTGGATTTTAGGAGCCTGTATTTGCCAGGATAATACTAGCGGAGACACCTGTGAGGTTTGTGCCAAAGGGTACTATGGAGATGCGTTACAGGGGACTCCAGATGACTGCAAGAAATGCCCGTGCCCCGAGGATGGGCCGTGTAGGTTGTTCACAAGCGATGGTGTATCACAAATTATGTGCACTGATTGCCCTACTGGATATATGGGACTCAGGTTTTTATTTGACTTCGTTTATTCTTTCTGTTAAGGTGCTGTTATTTTATTTTCGTTTTCTGCTCAGTAATGTTACAAAATTTTCTTCATCGTTTTTCTGCGCTGTCATTCAGTACCATTTAAATTTCTTCAGTGTCATATTAATTTTTAAAAGCCATGCAGATGTGAGAGCTGCGCTGATGGATATTTTGGTATGCCGAGCGAAGATAAACCTTGTGAGGAATGTGTGTGTAACGGAAACATTGATCCAAATAATATTGGCAACTGTGATTCGTTGACAGGAGAATGCAAAAAATGTGTTTTTAATACTGAAGGACCTAACTGCGAAAGATGTCAAAAAGGCTTCTGGGGAGATGCTTTACGAGAACCCAAAGGGGACTGCAAACCTTGCAAGTAAGCCTTGTTGAGAGATTTTTTCTTTTTGGTTCTCAGTACTTATTTTTAGCTCTTGCTTTTGCTGCTACTGTACTGTTTAAGTTGTTACGTGCTTGGAACAAAACGAGTTGACATTGATTACACGGTTTTGGAGTGCAACCAGAGTGATGGACAATGTGAATGCCAGCTGCACGTGACTGGTTTAAGATGCGATAAGTGTGAGGTCGGAGCAAATTGAGTTTGTTTGTACAGGAATTTTTTATTAGTAATCTAGTGCTCTTGATTTTTGGGCTTCTCTGTCTTTTTAGCTGCTTCAGTGCTTCAGAAAGAAATCTTTTCTTGTTTTTTAATTTCAGGAAGGATTTTACAATATTACTTCTGGAACGGGCTGCCAAAGTTGTGACTGCGATCCGGTGGGGAGTATCGATGGGTCATGTGATGTTGTAACTGGGCAGTGCGTTTGTAAGAAAGGAGTTACTGGACGACGGTATTTTTTATCTGAATATTATTTTATATAGTACTGAGCTAGTAAAAGAAACTTTTTCAGTAAAAACTTAATGTTCCAGATGAAGTTAAGCTAAAAATGTGTATTTTTTATCGGCTTATCACCATGCGAAAATCACTAGATTTTCTTTTGATTAAATAAATGCGCAAATAGCTTGAAAGTTCTGTATTTTATAACTTCTTGTTCAGGTGTGATGAATGTGCAGCTTTACATTTTGGATTTGGCGAAGATGGGTGCGAACCATGTGACTGTGAACCCGTTGGTTCCGAGTCGGCTCAGTGTCACGTTAAATCTGGTAATTTTTTTTCACTTGTAAATTTTTCTGACTTTAATTTTTACTGTCATTGAAAAAGGCTAGGCAACTAATCGGTCAATTTGGCTTGAAGGTCAGTGCTTGTGTCGAGACTATGTTGAGGGCCGTCGATGTGACACTTGTATGGAAAACAGATACAACCTGAAGTTAGGCTGTTTAGCTTGCGACGAGTGCTATAGTTTGGTACAACGTAGAGTGCAGGGACATAGAGAGAACATTAAGCAACTAGAAGAAACGCTCAAAGAAATTGTTGATAACCCTGCTCCTGTACGACATTTAAGCTGTTGCAGAATTACCGTTATAACACTGTTTTTTTAACGATTCTTTGTTTTTGAAAACTGTCATTAACTTCTCTGTATAGCTATAAATTTTGTAGGTGAATGATACGGCATTCGATGAAAAAGTGAAGGAGGTTGAGAAGGAAGCTCAAAAGCTTGCGGATTTAGTCAAAGAAAAAATCAGTTAGTTAATGGAATTCTTTTTTAATACATCTTTCTGGCGCTATTTGCTTTTTTCCTGATCTTTCTAAGATATCCCGAACATAGTAAACTCCACATTTGAATTTTACTAGCGGTTTTCATTTTTAAGCTGGAGATGACAGGAATCTGGTAGGACAGGTCAACCAACTAAAGGAAGATCTTAATGACACTTTGAATTCACTCAACATTATCAGCGATTATAGTGAAGCTATTAACAAGAAAATAGATGAGACGAAAGATATCCTTATGCATTGGAAGTTAATAAGAGGTGAGTATTGGGTTTAAACATCTTGTTTTAAGGGATAGAGATTTTTTTATAAAACTTGCTCCATTAGTAGGAGCACGAATTTAGCCTTTCTTCTATTGTAGTGAGCATTACTGATATACGCTGATAAGATTAAGGAGATATGACCTTTTTAGACGAAGCCAAGAAAGAGATTGGAAAAGCCTTGGCGTTTCTTAAAGAAGAAGGTAAAACTCAGTGGGAATTGGCAAAAGAAGCAGCAGAAAGATATGGCGAGAAGAGTCAAAAGGTACCTCGAATTTTTTTACTATTATAAAAGCTGAAGAAAGTTTCTTTAAATTTTGTTTCTTATCTACTTCTTTTATTTTGCAGTTGTCTGATATTGCTCAAACTGCCAGGAAATTGGCAGATGAACATGAAAATCGCAGCCAAGAATTTGAAAGAATAGCTGATAAGACATTCGAGGCGTCGAAGCAGGCAGTTACTGAAGCGCAAGAGGCTATTTGGGGAGGTTAAAGATCTTCAACAATTTTTTTCTAGAATGCTGTCGAACAAGGACTGTGCTTATTTGAAGATTTTCCAGGTGAATCTATCAGCCAACAAATAGCACGGATGGTAAAAGAGCTAAATGAAACTGGTGATTTGTTGGATGAAACCAAAAAGTTTGCCAAGGAACAATTAAATGAGGCTGATAAAGCTTATACTGCTGCTGGCAATAGCCTTACCGAAGTAGAAAAATTGAAAATACCAGTTGTTGACGTTGAAGAGGTAATAATGCACTTGGTATTCATTGCGACAGACAAACTTGTCACAGTTATTTTACTCCTTTCTTTTCCTTTCAAAAACTGTTTGCAGAAGCACGTTTTGACCTCACTTCAGTTTTAACTTTAATTTTTTTTGAGATACCTTCACTTTTTTCTTTAGACTGAAAAAGAGATACAACGGATTGAAGAAGACACGAAAACTGCCGTGAAAAACGCCGTTGAACAGGCAGCTGTTAACAAGGAAGTTCTTGAAGAAGCTGGAAGAGTTTTAGGTGAAGCGGAAGCTGAATTGGAAAGGGCCAAAGGTTACCAACAGGTAATTTTGATGGTTCCAAGCTAAAAATTGTTCTTTTTTGAAACTGCGTACGATCAGGCATTCCTTGTCTACCTCAAGTTCTAATTCTTACTTCCTTATTGGATGTTTATGGGAAGTTTCAACACTTCAAACTTAGGATTTATGTGTTCAGCTTTAAAGCGCAGCAGCAAACGTAAAATAGATAAATTTCAAATCATGCATTTTTCTAAAGACTGGTTGGTTTAGAGAAGTTTTTCAAAACTTTTTCGACCATTCGATATGCGATGCTTTATCTCTAATATCAACTACTTACTACTTGTGGATACATAGAGGTGTTTTCAAGTTTTGAAAAGCTATCAGAATTTGTTGGTGAGAACTAGGAGAAAAGCTCAGTTTAATAACAGTAAGAATAATGGCATTTGCTTCTTTACTTGGACGCCTTTATTTGTTCCAGTAGCATAAGCTGACTCGTTTCTAGAGAGAGGTAATATTTGTTTTGTCAATTAAATCTTAAAATCCCATAATTTTTTGTCTTTCCACTGGAGTATTGCTAGCTGTAAAACCGGATTGCGAAAACAAAATGGGGGAGGAGGGGGAGGATTTTTGTAGAGCTTTTGCACTTCTACAAAAATATTTGGACACACCTTGTCTATGATAACTTTAATCAAAAATTTTATGATTTCGCCACAAACAGTTTCTGCTGACTTCTTATACTTCAAGAGGCGAGTGACCAATTACTTAACGGTGGTTTATGAACTCGGCTCTGAAGCGTGGATAATCGCGCATTGTGAGTGATCTAGATTTGTGTTTTTGACATATAATTTTTCAGGATTCAGATGTCATGTTGGCTGACATTGATGCGGCGTTGGAACGTGCTCAAGAAGCTAAATCGAATTCGGACAAAATTTTAGCTGAAGCAAAGAACACTCTCCGAACTTTGGAAGGCAGGTTTCATATGCGCAAGTTTGAGTGACTGAAAGTTATTTTTACGTCCAAAGTAAACTCCGTGAGACTGCATCGATAGCTTTCTTACAAAAAATTTTAGAATTCCATGGTCGTGTGAATAACAGCAAAGAAGAAGCCATAAAAGAACTGGATAAGCTTGATGAGATCAAAAAACAAATTGAAGAAGCTGAAAGAACTACTGAAGATGCCAGAAAAGCAATTGGAAATGCTGGCAGTGATGCAGAGCATGCTGCCAAAGTGGCTGAAGAGGCCCAGCAGGATGCAAACAGTATCAAGGATGTAAACTATAAACTACCTTCCTTGTTTTGTGTTCTTTGACTTCTAGAAGGATTTGGCCAAAATTGATTAAGGGTAAAAGGGGTGTAGAGTACTACTGAAAAATTAGCAACAATTATTACATTTCTTTTCAACCGAATAGTTTTTAGGCAAGTGACGGAGAATAAATATTTTTTTTTATAGAAAGCTCATCATTTACACGACGAGACATCCTCCATACTTAAAGTTGCAGAGGAGACAAAATCAGACGCGGAATCATTTTCCGAGGATGTTGAGCAGACTTCTTCTTCTATTGATGCATATTCGAAACAAGCTGATGAAGATAGGAAACGTGCAACAGATGTAAGTCGCCGTTCACTTTTGCTTCTTTTTTTAGAAAGTCTGCCTCTGCACTGCCAAAAGTTTATTATTCATGAGCTGGCTGACCTGGCAGCCTTTTTCAGGCGGCGTCTAGAGCTACAAAAGCAAAGAATATCGTAAATTCTACGCAGAAGAACATTACTGATACCAGCGAGAAGCTGAAGGAGATAATTAACGCTCTCCGTAAGTCCTGCTTGAATTTTCTGTCATCAGAAGTCTAGCTACCATATGTTTAGTGACCAATATGTAACTAAAACAAGGTGATATTACTCGCTTTTAATGCAAACGTATGACGTCCGGCCTGTCACATTACTACTCTGAGAGCTTCTTGCGGCTTTTACCGGTTACTGTAAATAATGGCAACTGATAATGAAGGGAAAGCGTATTAAGCTAAAAATCAACCAGTTAAAAGTTTTCAAAAAATCGTCTTTTAAGGCCTTCGTTCTAGAAGAATTTTTTCAGTGCAAATCCGAACACATTATGAACACTCTTTTGCCTTCTACATTTAAAGAAGGTGTAGCTTTTAGGAGTCCTGACATAGTACCTTCATAACTCTTTTTGTCCAGAGTCTTTTACTTGGTAACAGATTTGTATGGCCAAATCCTACTCATATAGAATACAGGCGCGCTTTACTTTTCATCAACGGCAGGGTGCGGGTGAATTCATAAGACAGTATTTTATCAACCGATTATAGCAAGCTATTCACTTACTTCTTCCAGGTTCCTTGGACGTTTCTAGTGACGACGAGCTTGATGCTTTAGAGAGGGATTTAGAAGAGGCTGAGAAAGAAAACGAAAGAGCCGCTCTGGATGCTAAGGTACAGAAAGCGATCAGCACTGCTGTCACTTTAGTGTAGAAAATTTATGAAGTTTTTTTAGTTACTGTGCGTACTATTTCCCTGTGCTATTTTAGATCAAAAAACTAACTCAACAGCAGGCGGATCATGACCGTATAACATCACAACTAGCGAAAGAGTTAACAGAACTCGAGAATGAGGTTGTCAATTTAGAAGCAATACTAAAAACGTTGCCCAATGAATGCTACAACAGAATTCCGATTGAATCAGAAGGCCAAAAATAGACTGTTTGGAAGCATGTGTTTTTGTTCTACTTGTGGGTCTTCTGTGGTTTTCTAATTATGAATGAAAGCACAGTGGCGGGAATTCTTCGCCAGGTCTATATTACTGAGAAGCGACGTATTAATTTTCCACAGTATTTGAGGGAGATGATGTGTAAAGCTAATCGCTACCTTTTCTAAAGGATCTCATAGGCTATATTACTATACAGTTAGGCGGTTTGTTGGTTTATTACTTTTATTTTGTTCACTTCCCTTTTCTTCCTCTTTTTGCCTTTGTTGATGAATGTTGATAGTTTCCACGACTCTGATTCTGGTGCTACTTTTGTAACTTGTGCTTTCGTTTTAGGACAGTTGTTAAATTGTGACAAGGTTTTGTACACGACAATGATGCCTTGTAATCTTAATACTCTATTTGTTATAATTAAAGTGACTCTTAACCAGTAATCCGTTTATATTTGAAGCATTAGTAGCAAAAGTAATACTTGTTAACTTGAAACTAAAGCAGTGAAGAACGAGTGTTTTCAAAGTGACGTAATGCGCATTGCTACGCAAAAACCTGCTCTTCTTTCTATATTGGTTATCTCAGAAGGAATGAATAATAGATTAAAACCTGAGCACAGCTGCTATTTGTTTTGTTAAATGTGAGCACTGAAGCCTCTTTCATGCGACGGATACAAAGTAATACTGGGATATCAGAAAACATTGAAATTTGTTTCACTAGCACAGAGTTTATGAAGTTTAAGGTCTATTATCTGAGAAGACCGTCTATTAATTGGTCTAACTGGTCATCGCCGTGGTCGCCTTCCATCCTTTCAACTACTTCACCATCTTTAAAAGCAATGATAGTCGGTATAGCTTCAACTTGATACTGCATGGCTAGTTCTGCAGCGCTGTCTACGTCAACTTTGGCCAGCAAAAGCTGCAAAAGTTTTGCTTCTTCTAAGAAACTTCCAAAACACGGTTGAACCTTCGTAACAAATGTGCAGAGCACAGGTGGGGGTGGTAATACTGACGGCCACAACTGCTAAATATTTTTTTGATGCTTGTAACTTTACTGCTGCTGTTGTGCAGGGGTGATTATTCATGTTTCTCCATGCGGTCAAGCTGATTATACTACAAATAATTCTTTGGAACAGTCAACGGGAAATATTTATGATTTTAGCAAGTTACGGTAAAGTCAAGCAGTGTTCCATTTCTAACTTAGGTGAATCATTTTTTCAGCGTACTCTGCAATAACCAAGTAGGCAACAGACATGCTACCATAAGCTACTGGTCGATCTTAATTTATTATCTTTAAACCTTTTCCACCGTTCCACTTGCCAGTGTTAATGAATCTTTGAAAGCAATTTGAGTGCAGACGCACCGAAGTTGCAAAAAAGTTTTGAGTTATTTTTTAAAGACTTTTTAGATTTAAAAAAACGCTAGGAAACAAAGACCTTTTAAAAAGAAACATACACACTTGTATAAGCTGACCGTGTTTTTTATATTAAGATGGTACAAGCGATTCTCATTAAAATATTAATCAAGTGCTTCGGAATGTAAAAGTTCTGCTTCTGTTCATTGAAGCACATTTAGAATAAAACTTTTCATACATATTAACTACCAGCTTTTATGTCAGGGAGAGCTATAATTAATAAACGAATTTTAGTGTTGTAAACCAAGGGATTTTTCTAGCCAGACTACGTAGTTCCTAAATTTTCTGGCAGACCTGAAACTTGTCACCTTACTCCCTATCTGGCTCCCAGTCTCGAAAAATGCTCTTCATCCGGCAGTTTGAAGTAAGGCTCTGGATCACCTAACTTGAAATCTTCCTGCAGCTATATTAGAAGAAATTTGCTACTTACTTTTAACGCCACTCATTTTAATGCAAATTAGATACTTTCACTCTCAAAACGACGTAGTATGCCTCCATTCCATAACTTACCAGGAAACTATCATAAAACGATTTTCAGCCAATTAGACGTTGCATACTAGGATATTTAAGACAATCCTTTTTACGTTTTCAAACTACAGATCTTCATACGGTAAATACTGCCACAACAACCTTGCTGCAGCGATTCTATCTAGAGGCAAGATATAGGAGAACCTCGACTCAAATGCTTCAGTTATAAAAACAATATGAACTTTGCTAGAAGCCCACAAAAAAACCACTGCTTTTTCATCACAGTAGTAAAAGTTACAGCAGTTCATAAAAACTTTTAGCAGCTATACTCACCAAACTATTTCAGCCGTTAAGATATTTAAGAAAACTTACTGCTCCATCTTGCCCCCTCACTTTGGCTTCAAGCCGAGGTCCAAGCATCTTACAAGGTCCACACCAGTCTGCATAGAAATCGACTAAAACTGGAGCGGATGATTTGATCACCTTGAAAAACCAACGAAATGAGGTTACAAAACAACTTTAGTGTCTCAAAATCAACTTTTAAGCAAAGAGCTTTATCAATGTGTAATATCTTAAATATTACTGTCATTAGCAGTCCAATGCATAAAAAAATATTGTTTATTTAACCCACCTTGTCCGCAAAATCTTCATCGTTTTCTACTTCAAATATTACAGATTTTTCTTCAGAAGCCAGAGAATTCTCAAATCTCGTTGAAATCTGAAAAATTTTTATTTTTCAAATCCAACTGAAGTGAGAAAAATTATAAATTAGCCACTCATTATAAAGCAAGTGTTCCTACCTTGCGTAAGCTATTCAGTTTATCAGTTTGAAGCGCTATTCCTACCGTTAAGCTCTACCGGTAAACGGCACAAAAAAAAGCTTATAGCACTTATTTTCATCTTTAAGATGTCATTTACTTGTTGCGCCGGCCTCCATATTTTCTCTTTTCACAAAAAATTTCAAAATGAACTGAGAAGGAAATCGATCCAGTTGAATAAAAGAGTACGTGAAACAAAAGAAAGCATGGAAGAGACTTTAGTTTTTAAGGAAAGATTTCTAGTTCCTTAGCTGTCTTCTCTTCCTTACTCTAAGACGCTTTAAGTAAGGTTTCACTAAAACTGGCTAAAATTTCTTTCTAAACTGCTGCTTAACTATACTGCCTCAGTATTTCAAAATAACTAAGGGAGAATTTACACTTCCAAGTGAAGCCAGACCACAACGAAATCAGGGCAGACAGTTAAGTGAATATAAGCAGACGCAGTTACAACATTAGGTGGCACCAAATTAGATATTTCAAACAGTAGTCCTCAAACAGGCAGAAGTTCCGCCTCAAAAACTTCAGTAAAAAATGAAATGAGGAAGTCTAGTCACAGTGAATACATACTAAAATGAGAAATAATTTGAAATTTAAAATGCATTAATTGTTTTTGTTTTCTCTCCACTATTTCTTGCTCTCGTTTCCAAAATTAAGAACCTCTTCAATTTCTAATACCTTTAACAACTCCACATTTAAAGATTACATCCTTTAGAAATTGTTACAATCATATCAAACAGAGCAAAAAAGATCTTCCAAATGTTGAGAGTGATATCAGAAACCACCTTATCGACGTCAAATCTTCCCCTCACTCAAAAACTGAATCTGGAATGGTGATCAAAAACGGTAAAATAGTAAGGATCTGCTGAAGTTCGGTTAATGCTATAATTAATAAAGTTATAAAAACATTCTAACAACGGGGTGCATTTCCACTGTGAATGAAGGTTTTTTTAGCTCCAACAAGTACCTTACAAACGATTTCTGGTACGCTAGTTATTGAAATTTTTTTCAAAAAACTAAAGTAGTGACGGAATGTCTATAATCCTCTAACATTTTAATACAGTTGTTGACCTTGCTAACCATATTTCTCGATAATTCAATAAGAGTTCCCTTAATCAAACCTGAACCTTCAAAGAAACGTCTAGAATTTTTGACGGGGCTAACAATGTTGCCCTTGAGAGAGAAACTTCAAGTTTTTCAAGCAAGTTTTCTGTATAATATTTTGAAACAAATGCTTAAGACCTTAATAATTCCACAGCGAAATCAGGGGAGAGGTACCTCCCCTTAGTTTAAAGAGCAATTCTACTTCGAAAAGAGCCACCAATCATCAGTAAAACGAGCAAGCGAATAAGTAAAAAAATAAAATTTTCAAACCTTAAGGCCTACAGTATCATGTTATTTAATATCAGTTTCAATACTTTTCACTTATCTTATAAGGTCTGAAGCAGAGGAGGCTGTCAAAACGCTCAACTGCGACAGCGATAAAAATAAGAATGCAATATTTAAATATAAAAGTTTGCACCCTTTACAGAGACTATATTTTACAACCAAATTCAGAGAAGAAGTCATGCTTTTCCGCTTTGAGAAAGCCCAATGAGAAGAGCGGAAAGAATCAGAAGCATACTCGTGTTTGAAAAAGGATGCAAGTGCCGCAAACGAAACTGTGCTTTTAGTATCACAATTCTGCTAGACAAAGGAAAACCCTGATAAACGTTATTTCAGCGGCAGCACAGACTTATTCCTTGTTCTAATAAAGTAAAAAGAGCATCTAGTTTTCCGTATAAAATCAATATCCCCTGAATATTTCATTTCCTAGCTAAACTTTTAGTTATTAACCCTCATTTGACTTGCTCAGAAATGAAATAACACTTTACTAATAAGCAGAAAAAAGGACCAAAAACGGATTCAAAACGGATCCAAATTTCATTTCCTGGGTCGGCAAAACGCTAGCATTCCTTTTTATACTACTGACAGGTGCAATATTAGAAGAACAAATTCGGAGAACTCGAGGAAGTGTAAAACGTAATCGGCCAAGCGACATCTTCGTACCTAAAGGAAAGAACCAATTAAAACTCTCGCCTGACATACATTTCCACAACAAACCTTCTAAACTCCACAAATCATCTAAGTATCTCCAGATAAACGCTACAAACAGATGTAAACACTAGCAACAAATGCAGCAAAATATTCCTGACGAGAATATCTTAGACAGCTCTGCAAAGAACAGATATAGTTTAAAAAATCTGTGATTTCATATGTATAAATACTCAGTTACGATTTTGATAAGTGCACTTAGGCAAGCCCTTTGGCACTGTTCCACGGAGCACCAAACGAAATCGAAAACGTTATCAAGAGGAGGAAAACCATCAATTACAGCAAAATATTACCGGCATTACAATTCATGACTGTCAGTTCCGCTTCATTAACAATGTTCAGCTCCTGCTAGTGTGTGGTGAAACAGAATTGACGGTAGTTTGATTTTTTTATTCTGACAGTAGTTAAGTCAGGAATCTTTCTGGTTAGTCGGTCATTTACGCAGTCTCTGGTAATTGGAAACATGAAATATTTGAGTGACTAACTGAATTTTTAAAGACAAATTCAAAGAAAGCAATTCAAAATAGGTTGTTAGACAAATAGAATCTTGACGTCGTGACAGTGGTCATCTTGAATAAGATAATCATAGATTGATGCTTTAGAATCTAACTCCCTCTATTAAAGGTAAGTGCGTAATTAAACTCTAGGTCTTGTTGGTACAGTATTTAGCAGCAACTAATCTTGCAGGGTCTATCAACGGAATGTTATCATATTGCACCCGGCAGTAATTTTTACTCAGGAAAAGCAGAGAATTTGAATACAGTATGACGTAGAATTTCCAGGAAAACGTACTTTAACTAATTCTTATTAAGAATTTTAGGGCACTTTTGAAACTTCCTTTTTCAATAAGAGGTGGGACAATAGATCTTTTTTAAAAGCTTCAAACCGATAATTTTCAGTATTTTTTGGTACAACTAGTTCATTCCTAATATTACTATTGGAACGCGACAAAAGTAATGTCCATTTGCTATTAGTTGCAGTTAGTGGGAGTGGCGCAACCACAGATAACGAAAGTTGGGTGATTTATGTAAATTAAAAGAATAGCTGAATAAAGTACACCAGCAATGTGGCATAAAATATTACCTCAATAGCAAATTTAACAGATTTAACAGATGTGATATAAAATAACAAGCAGCTGTCATTTCAGGATAAAAAACAATGAAAAAAGCTGCAAATTACTTAGAAATGATAATTCATTATATAGAAACTATGTCAGGATCTATCAAGTCATCCTTAAAATTTAGTTGGTAATTTACATTCGGTAACTGTTTAAGAAAGAATAAAACAAGCAGATGAGTAACCATGTGAATAAGTGAACGTATATATATATATATATATATATATATATATATA